ACAAATGCTTCGGCTAACTTAGTCCTTTGAACTTTAAATTATAATTATAATCATAGCGTGTGTGATTGAATTCTCCAAAAAAACTTTTAATTGTTATGTGGAGCTCTACTAAATTAGCAAAGTGGTGTAGGGTATCATAAAGTCGGCCCGTCCGACTTTAAGGCTTTCTTTACTGGTTTAAATATGATTCATATATTATTGTCATAAATTGATATCCGTGAGCAGTATCCAAAATTCGTAATGACTTCTTGTTATTTTGCGTGAATGTGTGTATGTGTGTGTGATGCCTTGTTATCACTGTTATCATGCTTGTTTTGGTGGTAACATCATAGCATCGCAACGCAACGCAACGCATCCCATCGTATTGTATGTTAAATAATGTATGCCAGCAAAATCTTGTTCCAAATGTCATGTCATTTGGTTTCCCCCCTCAAATATGGCATGCTGGACATGTTTGTTGGTCGGTTGGTTGTTGTGCCAACAAAAGTGGTTGAAATGCATTCGGGGTGGAGTAGAAAGTGGGGGAGTGATTTTCGAAATATCGCATCTCAAAATCATGCACATGTATTTACATACACACATACATGCTTGCATTTTCCGCACTGCATAATGACAGTCCAACACTGCATAATCTATGTTTAATGTTCGGACAACAAGTCACGGTTTCCTTGTGTGCGAGGTTAATGGTGATGTGATCAAAGCGACAAATATGGTTCCCAAATTAACATATTCTACAAAAAATGTTGGAAAGTTTCATAGTTTTGTTGTATTTTATGGAGAAAAAATTATATTTTCAAATCGCCTGCACTAGAGACTCTGTTAAATGGAGTCAAATTTTGAGGTATATTCCTAGGTTTTAAGCCTGGCAAAATCTCATATGTCAAATCGAATATGGCAAAGCGAAAATAGGCGATAAAAATCTTCCACAAATATTATAGCGAAACAAGGCGCAACATTTTCGATATAGATACTTATCCTAGCTGCATCACAATGATACTTTGAAACAAAATTTAACCATTCCATAATCAAGTCATATATAATGATGCTATGATGCTAATACTTTAGTTTTCGGTTTAGGTTATATTCTTCCGTGATAAAGGTCATAAAAATCTAAAAAATGATCCAATATGGCGCTCAGTCCGCTTAGAATGTCCAAGGTCTGCGGCCAAAATGTTTGCGTGTCCAAGTCTTAAATACACCCTCCTGAATATTTTTGCGATAATATTCGGCATTTATTGAGATGCCACGGTCGATTAATGCGAGCGGAGAGCGACCATCGGCTGTTATGGCGGCCCACACCATCACCATGGCCGGCGCTTGAGTTCAGGTGGCCAACCGAAGGTGCACATTTTCAGTTGACCTCTTTGGCAAGTAAACACGATCATTTAGTTTGTTTGCAAACAGCTGGACAACGATTGTTTTCTCATCGGACATATCCAATTTCGGCAGTTCGCCATTTTCAGCCAATCGACGCAACTTTTTAGTTCTTTTGAGTATATTTTCTTTCTGTTGCGGTGTAAGTTCTTGCACTATTTGGAATTTCAATGGCTTTACCCGAGCTAATTTTTCAATATTTGTCGAATGGAATATGGCGATATGTTCAGCTCACGAGCCATTTTTCGGACACTTCCTTGACGACGCGCTACGCTACGAGCATCACGGTAACGAGCGATGGTACGAGACACAAAATATTTATTCACATTTAAATGTAGGAGTGCTCTTAATATGCATAGTGGTATAGGGTATCATATAGTCGGCCACTTTTTGACTTTTCCTTACTGGTTGTATAATATGGATGTACAAAACATTTTACAATAGTAGGGAACTTTAATAATTGTGTTCGCTACGTCGAATTTTAGGTAACGCTGTTAAGGACACAAATTAGATTTAAAGCGCCTGCCATGGAGACTTTTTCAAAAGCATTTAAAAGCTACCCTATATTTTCTCGAAAATTAGTCTTGCAAAATTGCATTTCTCTGGAACTTTTCAATCTGCAATTTTTTATAGATAGATTCATAAATGGCTTTATAAAAAGCCACCGAAATAAGCAAATTTTTCTTTTATAAAATCGTTAGTTATTGTAATTCATATATTCATTCAATTCATACCTTACTTATTACACCAGACTATAATTGAAATATTTCAATTTGCCAAGTAAAGATTTTTCAAAACCTCAACCAATTGTCAGAATTTAAAAAAAAAAATCTATTGAAATAATACCAAAAGTTTGTCATATAAGTCTAATTTTGGCTTTAAACCTGAAGATATTTTTTAGTTCTTTCATAATGGATCCATCACAATTAAAATCGTGGCAGGTCGAATTTTGGAAATATTGGTCCAACTTATCTTCTAACTCCATAAAGGAGAAACTTTCCCAATTGTTAAAAATAGGGAATTTGAAAAGGATGCTGGTTACACAATCCTCTGTTCTTGAAATCGTAAGGAGACTTAAAACACAGCCACTAATAGATTTTTCAATAGAATATAATCAAGTTATAAAGATATTGATATTTTAAAACGGTAAATTGCGGTGCATTTGATGTGGCGCCATCTATCGGTTGTTAAATATACAAATGACGTGGTTCAGGTTTGTGGCTAGACTATTCAGCAACATTAACCCTCAAATGTCATAAACATAAGTTCATCTGAACAAACTACAGTTCTCAAGTTTTGTTTGTAGATGTCTCTCAAATTTGGTGGCACAATTTGGGACAAGACCTAAAAGGCTTGTTTCAGCTATTTTTTTAAAACATCAAACACATCTCAAATTTAGCGATTATTAAGCTTTAAAGTTCAAAACTATAAACACCGTAAAAATATAGCTGATTTGAAAAGATCTAAAAAAATCTACTGTTATTTGGGAGAGGTTTGAAGAAAATAGGAAATAGATTCCAATATGTTACTAGAGCTATTATTACTCAAAACATTTACGAGAATCAATCAATATTTTCCTGGAATGCTCTTGGCATAAATTTGATGTAAGTTTGACCACCAACCAAGTTTGGTTTAATATCGGGTACTCGATTCGTTTTATATGACACATATATGTATGACATTTTTCCGAAAATTTTCAACTTTTGTGGAGGAGTTCCAAAAAAAGGGGAGATACTTTCCATTTTCGCATTAGCTCCAATATTGGCAACAATATTGTGATGTCAAAAAGCCATCAAGTGGGTGATGCCGTTATATGGTGGCCATAAAAGAATGGGAACCTCTATAGACAATTTTATGCTTCAAGCCTTTAAATTTGAAACAATTTCGTGGCTAGGATTATCAAAATAACGAATATGGGTGGGTATCGCAATATGCACGCTATAGGAAAACGTGGAGCTAAATATTCAATGTTCTGTCACCGGAGCTAGAAACCATTATGACCTATAAATACCAATTTTTAGATAAATTCGTGGGAAAATGTAGCATAAAGCATCAAAATACCGAATATCAGGAGGTACCGTTATATGGCGGCTATACGAAAAGGTGAACCGATATATCTCATTTTCAATACCAACCATCTTAGACACAATGCAAATTGTTCTGCCAATTTTTGAAGCTATACGTCAAATAATATGGTCTATGGACAAAAAATACCCCTTTGTTGACTCGTTTGAGGATTATAGTGTTATAGATGAATATTCCTCTTATTTTTATCTGAAGACTCTATGTGCCTAAAATGCATGGATTCCGAGGAATCTTTATCCGAAAATTTCCAAAAGTGTGGAAGAAGGGGGAATATGCCCCTCTCGTTAGGTTACTTTGCGATTTAAACTTTTTATACCCTCAGTAATATGGCTACAGAGGAAATATGTCATTGACACCATTCCTTCAAAGTTTTAAATAACCAAAACGATCATAAACACCGAAATAAGCACCCAGATCTCTTCAAAATACACACATCACAATATTTTTATTAACCCAAGGTCTGGTCTGGAAGATGGGTTATATCGGCCTATTCCTTCTTGTACCTCCCCCACAAAAGTTTCAAAATTTTTAGTATCCATGAAGCTCATTCGATTCCATTCATACTTGGTACATCTCAATATTTCCATTAACACAAGATCTGTTATAAAGATGGTATAGATCGGAGCAATTCTTCTGGTACCTCCAAATAGGGTTCAAGATTTTTTAAAAACAAAATGCTCAAAGATAGCGATATAAGTATCCAACTTTTTTCAAATTTCACATATCCAAATATATTTGCTAACACAAGATCTGTTGTGAAGATGATATATATCTGCCAACCGCTTCTGGTACCTCACCCACAACAAGTTCCAATACCTTTTTCTATCATAACTTGCGAAACAAGTTGGTGATTCTTTACAACTTGCTATACCTAAATATTTCTTTTAACCAGAGATCTGATATGAATATGGAATATATGATTGGATATAAATGTTCGATTTTATTGAAATTTTGAACATGCCAATATTTTTATCTGTATTGCATGAAGTCAACAATTTTTATAATCTTAACAGAAGTCACTATATATTTCAATCATCGAACATTGGCTGAGGTTATAAATCTGTCGGCAAAACCGATTGATGCTTTTTAACTTGTTTTAAATATATCTGAATTCCTGCCGTTTAGGTTAGCTTTAGACCTTTGACGTCTTCTTGGACCTATAGTACAATTTTAGCCGTAGTTTCAAAAAAAGGCCAAAAAGTAATTTATCATTCCTCGTATCTTATATTCCTCGTATTTTTATCTACAATTTTGTTCAAGGCTCTATATATCTAAAATGCATGGATTCCGCGTAATCTTAATCTAGGGGAAATTGCTCCCTGTATTTAGGTTACTTTGTGGTGTAACTTTCATAACGCTGATACATGTGCCTTTTCGCCGTTATTATTATATTTATATTTTTTTCTGTTAAATCTAATTATGTGTCGAGGTTTACGACATTTTTGACGTCACAATTTCTGAACGGCCATCTAAGGGTGTACTACAGGAATCCATATTCCAAACTTTAGGACGACTTTTAAAATTAAAAATCCTTCGAAACGTTTACACTTAAAACGTACAATTTATTTTACATACATATTTTAAAGTTAAAGGACACTACAATTAATAAACAATTACAACAAATTCATGTGTGGGTGTGGGACAAATGTTTTTTTTTTTTTTTTTTGCATTCCATCCTTTTTCGTTCTCAATTTTTCTTGTTTAATGGACATTTGATGTGTGTGTGTGTGCTTGTGTGTGGGTTCTGAAATCAGTCTCACTATTTCTAAATGTTAGAAATATTTTCTGGGTGTTCTCGTTGTTTGACCTCTACCACCACCACAACTTAGGCACGGACATCCTTATAGTGTTTCTCATCATCATCCTGATTCAACTTGATGGAGTATTTGCCAATCAAGGAACCTTGAACATCAGCTTGGCCATCGGCATTGAATTGGGGACCATCACCGATGTCTTCGGTTTCTTCCTTGACAACACGGTAACCGTTCTCATCGGCTTCATAGTGGACGGTACGTCTGACGAAACCGTCACTGTAGGAGTACATGCCGGTGACCTTGGTGCCATCACGGGTCTCTTCGCGGGCAATGGTGCCGTCATTGATTTGATCGTCGATGTGGGCATTGAAGGAGTATTGGGCAGATTCGTTTTGAATGCGTTCCAACTCGGCCTTGTCTTCGTCGTCTTGGTCCTGTAAAAAATGTGAGAAAAATGCAATTAATTAATGAAGGGGTTAATTTTTTATTTTTTTTTTTTAATTTTTTTTTTTTTTTTAATTACTGCCGTTTTTGTAATTATTTCCTGATTTTGATTGATTGCCGTTGTGCCTACATTTGCCATCGCAGCATCTGCCATGGATGACTGTTAACGATGGGCAATGAGTGAATAGGCGTATTACTACATCTATTGTTGTCGTTTTTGTTTTTGTTGCGGAAGCTGTCGACCTTCGAGAACTTGTAATTGCGTTTGGTAATAAACAGATTAAATGTATTTACTTATTAACGCTTTGTTCAAGTGGTGTGATGGCGTTGGTTTTAAGAAAATCTCATCTTTTTTACCCAATCTCCTCTTCCCACCCTGATAATCCGATCTCAAGTAATTGGCATCAATCACTCGTTTTAAGTGCCATTGTTGTTGTAGCTATTGTTTTTGTTGTTTGCTACTGTTATGTTTTTGTTTTTTTTTTTTTCATTTAACTTGAATACCCAATGAAATTCCAATGAATGGGAGTCTGAGCTTGGCTAGGCCAAAATTAACAACAACCGCAACAAATTTTGTTAAACACGTCTGCGCATGCCTTCAATGGCGACAATGTTGTTGGGCATGCGCACGTTCATCGATCGATTATCAGGTATGTCAGTCAAGTTTATTGGCTAAGAATTTTTAGGTGGATTTTTTGCCTTTGTTTTGGTTTTCCAAAGAATTAAGTTAATGGGATTTTTGGCGAAACAAAAACTGGGTAAATGCTAATTTTTTTTGCGGTTAATAGAGAAGCGTGTGGGGGAGGGGGTGTGAGTAACTGGAAATTTAATTAAATATGCCTGGTTTTCAAACAAATTCTTGAGCGCTAATCCGTAAAATAACATTTTCAATTATCGTTTCATTTTCTATGCAATGCGTGTTCCGCTTGACAACTGTTTTTTGAGATTACTAAACACGAAACCTGTTTCACCCGGTACCATTTGACATTTGCCGCATAGGTCCGTAAAAATCATATTTTATGAATTTCTTAACATTAAATGCTAACGCATTATTTTAAAATGAAGGGATTATTTTTAATTCCGTGTGCAGAAAAAATCTTAAATTTAAATTTGAATCTAAAAATGAGGCGGTTTTCGTATTTTTGGTCCCATGGAGTCAAACTTGGGCCAAAAAAAATTATTTATGCTTAAGAATCTTCTATATATACAGAAGGCCTCTACAGGCCTACTTCTTTCTTCAGAAGATCTCCGGAGGGTATTTCACGTGTATCAGACTCTTAGAGGACCTTCTATGTATGGAAAACCTCTGAGAAGTATTATATCTACAGAAAATCGGGAAAGGGTCTTTTATGTAAGTCCTTAGAATTTTCTATATTCAAGACCTGAAAAGTATTCTGTTTATATAAGGCCTGAATGGTATTTTTAAGGCAGAAGACCCTTTAAAGTCTATTTTATTTAAGTCCTCCAAAGGGTCTTCTGTATAAAAAAGACTTCAGAAGGGCATTCTTTAGGTAATATTACCTTTGAAAGATGTCTGAATGATTTTTATTTTTATAAGTAGAAAATTGAAGGTTCTTCTGGGTTAATTACACTTATAAAGGCTTTTGCAAAGGAATCCAGAAGGCCTTGGATGAAAAAATGCCACTGACTTTGGGAAGAATACCATTTTAAAAGTATTTTGCCCAGTCTACCTAAAAATTCTCTCGAATTTTTACATCGATATAGATATAAATTTCTCTCTCAAGATAAGACCTCTAAGGGATCTTCTATGTATTTAGAAGGTACAAAGTGTCTTCTGTTTATAAAAGACCTTAAAGGTGTAAAAAAGGAGAAGGTCTTTTATGTTTAGATCCTCATTTAGGCTAAATTTTGGATTTTATCGTTAAACAATGTCTGGATTGTATCCCATCTTGGGAAGCAAAACTCTCAATGGTTTCCTCTGAACATAAGCTCTCTGAAGGGTCTTCTAAGTATTTTTTGGATCTGCAAATAATCTTCTGGGTATAAAATTCCTCAGAAGGACCACATTTTAAGTAGAAGACCCCTTGGAGAATAATTCGCATATAAAGATCTCTGGATGGCGTTTTATCCTTAGAAGAAAAGGGATCATGAGCGTCGCTAAAGGATCTTCTGTAGGTAGAAGAGCCTCAAAATATTCTTGGAACGTTATAGAAGACCTTTGAATTTTCTTCCATCCATAAAATTAGTATGAAAGTCTTCTATATATAGCTGTCCTCTGAAAAAGTCTATAAAAATCACAGAAGGGGTTCTATTTGTAAAACACCCCTTAATGGGTTTTATCTTTAGAAGAGTAATGAAAACTTTCCGATCTATAGAATACCTCTGAATTGTATTATATCTTTGATATACATCTGAAGGGCCTTCTTCCAGTAGTAAGTTTTCCGTAGAAGTTCCTATGGTCTTAAAAAATAATGAAATATATTCTGAAATATTGAAATTGGTAGCTCGGCTAAGATAGACCAAATGTGCTTCAAATTCCTTCAACTGAAATCTTTCAATATTGACTGAAAATTCCTTGAATTAGAAGGTCTTTTGTAGAAGGATTTTTGGTAACAAGAAAAAATATTGAAAATTGGACCCGTACCAAGAATTATTAACCATTTCATTTTTTCACAGCTAAAAGCTCTTTATGTCGATGGGAACCGATTTTTTTTTAATATATCGTTTTTGACCTCGATTCTATCCTTATTGCTGAATGAAACCTGTGAAGTTTTAACGCAATTTAAACTGAAATCCAAGAAAATATATATATTTTTGCTTGAGTTGGCAGGATATGGGCTCAAGCCAATTAACCTCTGCTTAGAATCTAAGACGTATACATAGAACTGGAGACAATTCTGATTTGTTTCTTTAAATATCCTCCTATTTCGAAGCCAAATAGAACATAATCCGTAAAAGGTCCATTTGGCTACCAAAAATTATGAAACAAATTCTGTATTGGGACCCCGACAATTTCTTCACTTAAAAGCTTTCTATGAAGACAGGAGATCTTTAAAAAGGAAGATGATGAATAGAGACTCATTTTATGACAAGGGGATCTATGTAGAACTCAGCTTGTTTCTTCCCTGCAGAAAACTCATTCTTGTAAAAAAAATTCGATTCTTCCAACAAAATTCACTTTTCCTTGATTTGAAAGAGGCCAGGAAAAAATCAATTAAATTTGCATGAATTCGAAAATAATTTTGAAACATTAGGACGATATTGCAGAAAACCCCCAACCTTTCAAATTCGTTATGACTAAGCTATTTTAAAAAACCTTATTCGATTTCCAATTCACAATTCCGTTTCCATTATTTCAAATTACTTCATATCACACTTTAACGAACTACCTATTTTTATAAAAAAAATAGGTGTTTGTTTGCTCTACTTAAGGTAATACTGCGCAATGCGACCCTCCTAATTGACTAATTCACAACACGAAACTAATCAATATCCAATCAAATATTGAACCACTTTTGAGTTGGCCTTAGTGCTGTAATTAGCTCCATTACACCTTAAAACGCTGCACTCAATTTGAATTTCGGGTACTTTTTCTTCGTTTTCTTTTTAGCTTTGTTTTTTTTTTGTGGGTTACTTTTTATGGTCATTACCACTTTGCTTTGCACTTTTCAATTGTCATTAAAATTCCTGTTGCAAACGTAATTTCCCCAATTTTTTTCTCTTTTTCTTTTTTGGAAAAAAGGGAACACTTTTGAATGTCTTTCTCTTTTCGGCATTGGCTTTTTAAGGAATATCCACTCTTTTTTTTTTTTTGATATTTCTATTTTAAATAAATTTTCACTCACAATGGGCATGGCAATAGCGGCAGCCAAAAGGCAAGAAATCAACACGAATTTGAACATTTTGTTGTTGTTTTTGTTGTTTAACTTTGGGAGGAGTAGTGTTGTTTGATGTTCACGTTTCAAGTGTACTGTGGACTATGTTTGGCAAAGTGCAAATATTCTTCTTTTATACGCACTCCATAACGCCATCGGGGCCATGCGCATGCGCAACTTGTGCTGCCGCAGTCCACAACTCGGTCGCTGCCCATAGCGATGACGTTGCCTTAAATCTTGGCTTAGCCTGCTTACCAAGGTATGTAGACGAGCGATGTACGTATAAATTAGTAAATATTTACCGGCTTTATATTTTGTGTGGTTTGATGGGGAATGTCATTCCACAACAACGCCAGCAGCGACGCCAACGCCGGAAAGTAAACGTCGCAAACTATTCCAGTGCTTTTCGAATGCGAAGGCAGTTGGAGTTTTGTTTTAAGTTTGTTTTTTTTCTTTTTTGCATTCAAGAGCGCCCGAAATGTCAATGGTTTAACCCATCTTCCATGTGCATAGTATGGTCTGGTCGTTCGTCTGACTGTCAGTCAATTTGTCTTTCTGGTTTAGATCATCTCTGTTCATTCACACAACACATGGTCTGACATGTGTGTAGCACAGTATTCCCCCGCCGAAATGCGTTCGTTCGTTTTTTTTTCGGTATTTTGTGCATTAAAGAATTATTTGTTTTCAAGAGGGCGTTTCAAACACCATTTGATTGCCTCGATGGCCGTGTCTTGACCTACAGATCACCAAATTTGTCAACCACAATGTTATTGTGCGGTTCTTTTTTGTTTTGATTTATTAATAAGGCATTTTTTTCGTTCAAATCAACTATGATTTTTAATTGTATGCAAATGAAATGCCTATTTTGAATTCAATAATTTTGGAGTATTTAGATCATAAATGAAACAAACAATAATGGCAATAATTTCAATATGAATAATTATCTAATAGAAAATACTAAAAATTAAAAAATAGTAATACTAATAATAATAATAATAATAATATTAATACTAATACTAATACTAATAATAATAATAATAATAATAATAATAATAATAATAATAATAATAATAATAATAATAATAATAATAATAATAATAATAATAATAATAATAATAATAATAATAATAATAATAATAATAATAATAACAATAATAATAATAACAATAATAATAATAATAATAATAATAATAATAATAATAATAATAATAATAATAATAATAATAATAATAATAATAACAATAATAATAATAATAATAATAATAATAATAATAATAATAATAATAATAATAATAATAATAATAATAATAACAATAATAATAATAATAATAATAATAATAATAATAATAATAATAATAATAATAATAATAATAATAATAATAATAATAATAATAATAATAATAATAATAATAATAATAATAATGTTGAAATCTTAAAAATACCGAATTTAGCCGTTATATTAGAGTCTATAGGACGACTTGGACCTGCATAGGCTACTTTTATCATAAGCCATTACAATATTCAAATTGGGGCTATACCAAACCTTGGACCTGCACAGACAATTTTATGTCATAGTCTGTAGTATTCATTACGATCTTCAAATGCCAAATTTGAAATAATTCCAGTGAATAATGTCGCCAGTGAATAATGTCATCAAAATGTCACATATCGGGAGGTACCGTTATATGGGGACTATACCAAAACGTGGACCTACATAGCCCATTTTCAATACCAAAAGGCCTGCAGACATAATATACATTTGAGAAAAAATGTATCGGCCTACTTCGTTTTTCGTTCGGAAGATAGAGTGATTTCTACAGACGGATAGACGGTCGGACATCGCTAAAACGACATAGAATTTTATGCTAATCAAGAATATATATACTTCGTGGGATACCATGGTGGAGGGTATAATAATAATAATAGTAATAAGTAAAAAATATGGAGTCTATAGAATAATTTAAACCTATATAAGCCTCTTTCTATCTAAGAAGTTGATACTCACTTAGAACATCAAAACAGTTTCTTAGAAAATTTAGTTAAAATAATCAAAATATCGAATATTGGGCCGTACTTTTATTTCGAAGCTATAGGAAATCGTAGGCCAATGTGGGCAATGTTCTAACAGTTATGGTAGAACCCATTCAAAACTACAAATACCGATTTTTAAAAAATCCAGTGTAAAGTGGGGACATCAAATACCGAAAAGTACTTTTATATGGGGGCTATAGAAAAACATGGACGATATATACAAGTTTTTCATTAAGGAGACAGAATGCATTATAAACTCTGAATACAAAATTTGAAACAATTTTGTGAAAAAATGTGGGCAAAATTATCCAAAGATTATACATGCACAATTTTGATAATTTTGGAGATTTTTTTTTTCACCTTAACCCCTTTACCAAATGTAGTACTTTTCGTATATTTATAGTACACTTACTTATACACTCATAGCACTTGTAGTGCACATTTCCTAAACCTCCGCTTTATCGCACACCTACAGGGTTGCCCATATTCGACGGACCCATCTGGCAACGCCATAACTTTTGACAGAGATGTCACATCGCTTAATGACATACCGCGCTTGAAGCGTCAGTCCAAGCAGATTTTTGCCATGAACCAATACACGCCACTCGAGCGCTCTGAAATAGTTGAAATTTACAAGAAGTCAATTGTGAAAACTCAACGTGCTTTTAAAACATTAAAAAATGTGAGAAGTGCACCTTCTAAGAACACCATTAAGCGTATATACGAAAAATTGGAAAAATTGGACATATTTCGAGTATACGCCTGAAAGTAACATAAAACTTTAATTAGTAAGTTTAATGGTATCAAAAGAAGAAATATTCTATATAAAATTTCACTATAAATCTCAGAATAAACCACATATCTAGGTATAATATATTTTATGAAAATTACGTTCAAAATTTATGTACTACAAGTGAAAATTGTGTGTTTGTATTGGTCGAATTTCCAAAAAAGACTGGACGACTATCCTACACCTCATCAGCGACATTCATTTTAAATATCAGAATTCTAGCTTCATCGTTTGCACAGAACAATTAATTAAATTTGTAGAATCTTTTGATACTTTCAGTACACTTATAGTTTGAAACCCCAGCCTTATCTAATTCCTATACATAAACATTGACCCACATGGAAAATTTCAAGGTTCTATCTTCAAACCTTTCACCTTGGCATTGAATCGGTCAGTCATTCACTGAAAAAAATCGTTTCAAAAGAAATCCAGTGTTCACTGAAATAGCTGTAACTCATGAACCAATAACACATACAGATACTGTTTGTATATATAAACCTTGATGTTGACTTTACCTTTTATGTGAAGAGATCATCAATGACTCACACATATATTGATATATTTAATATTAACAGTTATCATGATAATAATAATCTATTTTACTAAAAGAGATGAGAGATGATCAGGACTAACTGGTGGAATCCAGCATAGATGTACCAAAGAATTTTAAGGAAATTCTAACTTAAATAGTATAAAAGTCATAAAATCTATTTTAATTTTTTGGCAAGCAAAAGAGTTTTTAAAAAGGCGTACATTGGTATATATTTTAGGAGGAAAAGAGTTGGGAATTGTGCATTTTGGTATTAGGGCACTGAGAGTGTGTAGCTTTTATATAAGAATTTGGAATAGTGAACTAAATGGTACTACATTTGATACAAAGTGTAAGAGTAGAGCAGATCTTATACGTTTCGGTATAAGGACCACTGTGGGTTAGACAATGGTCAGTTTTGGAAATATTTGCAATATAGTGTTCAAAAAGTACTAAATTCCGAAGGGAGGGTAGGGAGCTGGAATTATGTAGAGTAGTAGTACAAGAATCAGCGTAGGCGAGTATGATTTATACAATGGGTTGCTTCTGGAAATGGATTCTTGTATTTCCTCCCCGCCAAAAAATCGCAAAAAATTGAATAATCATAACTCTTAATATAAGAAATCAGTGTCCGATTCACACTATTGTCTATGTCAGAGTAAGTGTTAAAATAGAATTGATCAGTCCATTGCTTTTTGTACCTAATCCACAAAAGTTCAAAATTTTAAATAATAAATCTACACGCTTTTCTTAAAACTTCGAATATGACAATTAGACGCATCAGATCTCGAATAAAGTTGTGTTTTGCTGATCCCTTTCCCAGAAAAGGTCAAAATTTGTAATAATCATTCACTTTTATAGAATACGAAACTATCCAAAAAAGTATATTTTTTTGGGAGACGGACCCGGATATTTGACCCAAAAGTCCGTGTCCATCAACCCGGGTTAGACTCGGACCTACAAAGCAGATATGGATGATATAGGTATAAATTGAAAGATAATAAAATTAAAGAAAGGGAACGATAATGAATACCTACCAAACAAGTGGTCATATATTATTTAAAACGGTTCGAGTGTTGTATCAAAATTATCGATTTATTGGATCCGGATTTTTTAAAAAGCTTCCCACAGGTCATAAGAACCCATTTTTGAAGTCCACAAGAATTATACCTTATTATAGCTCCAATCTTTTCAAAATGCTACAATTTCTTTGTTATTACCTTTTCTGGATCTAGATATATGGGTTTTTAAACCCAGACAACCCAATTCTGTTCAGAACATTCGGTTCAGTTTTTATAAATTGTATGCTGTTTTAGACAACATCACTTCAATATACTGAACATAATCGTGTCGTCCGGGTTCAAAGACACATATCTCTATCCAAGAAAGATAATAAAACATATTCCAGCATTTTAGTAATGGTGCCTTAACCCCAAAAATGTGGCCTTTTTCGACATTTCCGGGTCCCAAAAATCAATAATTTAGATACAACTCCCGAACCGTTTTAAATAACCCCAACATGTGACCACTTGTTGGATAGGTATTTCAGCTTTCAACTGATACCTAATATCAATATCGGTTTAGTAGTTCTGGGTCCAACCCGGGTTTTGGAGCCGGAGAAAATACTTTCCCGGAATCAGGGCGCAAATTTCTACTTCTCCAAAAAGTTTAAAAAATCCGATTTTTTTACCAAACTAGAGTTAAACCATCAAGTCTTTGTCACATCTCACAAAAACATATATGTAAATAGGTGGTCTAATGCTGAGGGTATG